GATCGACCACCTGCGCGCGCAGGATGACAACGCCCTGGACATCACCCACCGGGACAGGCTATGCGTGAAGCTGGCCGGCCTGTGCCACGACCTGGGCCACGGCCCCTTCAGCCACACCTTTGAGATGTTTGTCAACCGCGTGCGCAACGCCAAGGGCCAGCCGCTGTGGCACCACGAGGATGCGTCGCTCAAGCTCTTTGATAAGCTGCTCGTGGACAACAACATCGACCTCGGCATCTATGACCTTCAACTCCCTGAAGACACCAACTTCATCAAGCGCCTCATTCAGGGCCTCTCCGAGGACGAGCCGTGGCCAACAGACATCGGACGACCAGAGAGCAAGCGCTTTCTCTTTGACATTGTCGCCAACAAGCGAAACGGCATTGACGTCGACAAGCTTGGTGAGCCACACCACATTGCTATGTTGTGTTGTGCAGGCATACGTTTGGGTGCTGAGCTATGCTTTGCTGTGTGACCGTGTGTTGCATTGTCAACTGTGCGTGTGGCAGTCCGCTTTGCCTGCCCTTCTCTGTCCGTGCACAGCACGATCCTTCTCACAAACACGCACATGTACACACACAAACATACACACATGTACACACACACACACGTGTACACGCATACTCACGCATGCACACACGCACACACGCATACTCATGCACCCACACACGCACTCACGCATGCACTCACGCATGCACTCACGCATGCACACACGCATACTCACGCATGCACTCACGCACGCACACACGCATACACACGCACACTCACGCACACATGCGTATGCAGACTACTTTATGCGGGACTCTGTGAGCGCGCTTGGCGACCCGCCAATCGGCTGTGACGTGCGGCGGCTCATCAAATCGTCGCGCGTGTGCACCGTCAACAACCACCCGGCCATCTGCTTCGAGGAGAAGATGGCGCTTGGCATCCTGGAGCTGTTTCGCCTGCGGGCGTGGCTGCACAAGTACGTGTACCAGCACCACACGGGTAACCTCGTCGAAGAGATGATCAGCGATGCGCTTACGGCTGCCAACGACAGCTTCTCGTCGCTCGGAGGCGTTGGTGGACAGACCGTCCAGTCCATCAGCGACGCGGTGGATGACATGGACGCGTTCTCTCGTCTTGGCGATTGGATCCTGCAAGCCATCGAGGCCTCGCCAGACCCCAAGCTGCACGACGCACGTGTCATTCTCACGCGCCTGCGCCGCCGCCACTTGTATGCGTCTGTGCTCTCCCCGCTTGAGCTTGTGGACCCGGTATCGGAGGCAACCATCCAGCGGGAAATCCTCTCGTTTGTCGACGGCACGGAGGAGCAGAAGCAGGAGGCTGCACGTGCCATTGTCGTGCACGTGGCAAACATCGACTATGGTGCGCGCGACGCAAACAAGAAGCCCATCAACCCTTTGCAACGTGTGCACTTTTTCAACCCAAAGGTGGACCCCACGATCGCTTACGGCATTGACGAGAAGAAGTTCCCACCCCTCTTCCTGCCGCAGACGTTTGGGCAGCGGCTGCTCTATGTGTACACGCGCAACGACGAGGTGCACGGTTGCCTGGAGCTTGCGTTTCAGCGATGGAAGAAAAAATACATTCAGAAGGCGCAGGCCAAGCCTGGTGTGGACAGGGCCTCGTTGCTGACGCCGGTTGGCACGGGCAACCCGCAGTCGCCGCAGCACGCGCGCCACCGCCTCATCCGCCAGAACTCGCGGCCACAGCCCGTCCCGTTCCGGGGTATCAACCCCTAGCTGGCGCGTGGCGGCGCTGTTCGTGTCTGTGTAGGTGGTGGTGTCGCTGCTGTAGTCGTGGTTTGTCTTGAGTTGCTGTGCTTCGTGTTCTTTCGCTTCACCACAAGTAATCAACACGTAACTGCCACATAATCGTGAGTGGGTTTGCGTGTGCGTATGTCGTTTGTTGCCGATGCTGTCGTCATCGTTGCTGCTGTTGCTGCTCTGCTCGTTCTTGTTGGTTGTCTCATGTCACTTCGTTCCCTCGTCCAAACCTGCAAGTGTAAGCAAATGAATAAGCAAACCTTGGGGATGGTGGTATTGTGTATGAACGCGTGTACCGCACGAATGCAAAACGCGTTGACGGCAGAGCAAGCGACAGCGACAAACGACAACAACACATGCATACCTTCAAAACAACACCACAATCAACAGCAACAATACGCACACAGCGAATGGGTGGATGCGTGCGGGTGTTGGGGAAGGAGTGCATGTGTGCACGAGAGGCACAAGCAAGCAAGACAGATGGTCACTCAACACAACAACAACAGACAACAGAGACATTGAACCGTCAGAGGAGCCTACGAAGCAGAAGAGAGAAGAAAAAAGAAGCGGGCAAGAGACAAAACACAACTCGGGGAAGAAATGCCGCTGAGGGACCAGTCAAACACCAATCATGAACAACGCACGCACAAAGCGCCGTGCATCGAGGTCATGAAGTCAACACATGGGACAGAGCAGCACATGTATGTGTGTGCACGTGTTCAGAAGTCCTCGTCGTCATCGTCCTCATCAGTGTCTTCCTCCTCCTCTTCCTCTTCCATCATCTCCTCCTGCGCCGCCTGTGCCCGCCGCTGCGCCGCCAGCTCGGCCTGCGACGGAAGCTTCGGCCGCACAGATTTCACCTGCACCCCACACAGTTTGTGCATGTATGTGTGTGAGTGTGAGCGAGTGTGTGTGCGTGCGTGTGAGTGAGTGAGTGAGTGTGAGTGAGTGAATGAGTGTGAGTGAGTGTGTGTGTGAGTGAGTGTGCATGTGTGTGAGTGAAAGTGCGTGTGCGTGCGTGCGTGTGTGCGTGTGTGTGTGCGTGCGTGCGTGTGTGTGTCTGTGTGTGTGTGTCTGTGTCTGTGGGTGTGAGTGTGTGTGTGTGCTTGTCTGCCTTTCCGCCTTCCTGTCTGCTTCCGTATCCCTCTCCATCGTTCGGTCTGCGTGTGCCCGATAACACATCATATCGGCGCCACCAATGACAGCAGCGGGCTGACCTTGAACGGCAGGACGACGTCGGCTCCAAGATACGAATCGCAGATGACGTGGAGGTTGAACGCCTTCAGGCCAACGTCAACCTTCTCCATCGGCAGCGGCCGCATCGTCTGTGCAGTGCCCGTGGTTTGACAAAAATAATGTTTTTTTTTTTTTGGGGGGGGGGGGGTTCAATGGTGTGATGAGGATACAATGGTGTCATGGAATGGTGTCATGGCCTGGGTGAGCGGATTGTGGGGCGTGCGGGGCGAATCATGATTGTCAGTGGCAGGGTGAAGGCTGGTGGTCGCGAATACGCACGTGCTTCGTGCCGAGGGTGTTGAGACGAAGGAGACCCGAAACAATCTTCTTGTTCGTCGCGTCAGAGACAAAGCACCACCACTCCGCCTCCTTGTCCTGTGCACCGACACACACACACACACACACATGAAACATCACACATTACAAGGTTGCAGGAGCAGTAAGAGGAATGGCGGTGAGGTGAGCGAAACAGCACAGTACAAATGGGAGCACATATGCACCACCCAACCACAAGCAAACACTGTGTACATTCGACAACGTTACCACAAATACAAGCAAAGTACAGAGAGCACCACACATCGCTCGTGTTGCCTACATGCGGATAGCGTGGGCAGTGCACAGCAATGGGGCCAGAGTCGTCAACATCCTCCCCAGGCTTCTTGATGCCAGCCCACTGATGGTGCATGGTGATCGTGATGGTGGGTATGGTGGTGGCGGTGATGATGACGTTGGTGATAATGATGTTGGTGATAATGAATGGTGGTGAGCAGGAGAAGGAGGGCGCCAATCTCGGAGAAAACAAGTCATCAAAGGGTGACGAGCATTTTCACCACGCGAAAAGTGCACACATGCACACACAACAAAAACCGCATGCAAGCATGCACCATGACAACTCACCAGCTCCTCCTCGTCAATCTCTTCTCCCTCAGCATCGGAATCGTTCTTGCTGTCGTCGTTGTTGTTGCTGTCGTCGTCGTCGCTGCTGGAGGCCTCTGCGTCCGAGAACTCACCCTCGCCAAACCCGACAATCTCAATCTTCTTCTTCTTCTTCTTCGCCGCCTCGGCCTTCTTTTTCGTCCCGTTTGCAGCCCCGCCCTGCCGTCGTCATCGTAGTGATGGTGATGGTGGTGGTGGTGGTGATGATGGTGGTGGTGGTTAGCAGGAAAGAGTAAGCGTTGAGGAAGACCAACAGTGCCAAACATGTGCTTCGGTGCCACGCCCAACACTCACTCGTACATATGAAAGAAACAAACAAGCACTGCGGTGGTGGCTGACCTTTGCAGCCTTCTTGCCGTTGCGAGCGGCCTTCTTGCTCTTTGCGCCAGCCTGTTGCTGCTTCTGCAGGAGCTCGTGTCGCGTCACCCGGCGAACGCTGACGGTGATTGCCCACGGCATGCCCGCAGTCACAATCCGGTTGCCAGACTTGTCCTTCTTCTCGTCCTCCACCGCGCCTTCGTGATGATGTGGTGGTGGGTGTGGTGGTGGATTAAGTGTGATGATCGCGTGTGAGGACACAATCTTGCACGGAGCAACCGAACATACATCAACCATACATCAGCCAAGATAAAGCGACCACATGCACACGAGCCGTCGGCTTCACCAGCTCCTGCACACCCCCAATGCCTCCCACAAAGGGTGAAGGGCCACTGACCTGGGAGCCCCCAGTCGACTTCGAGCGAGGGGAACACGTTCAGGAACTCGATGACATCGTCGACGTGCAGCGCGGGGACGGCCGAAAGAATCGACTGCACCTTGTCGTCGGGCCGCATGACAAGATTCTGCAGCGTGCGCACGTTCTTCTGCTCCCACAACAAAATGCGCAGGCAGGCACAGGATTGATTGAGTGTGTGAGTGAGTGTATGTGTGTTAGTGTGTGTGCGTAAGCGTGTGTGCGTGTGTGTGCGTAAGCGTGTGCGTGTGTGCGCGTGCATAAGCATGTGTGAGTGTGTGTGTGAGTGTGTGTGTGAGTGTGTGTGTGTGGACAAATGGAGGCGACTCTAGGTAACACATATTGCCGCTGTGCGCACCTTCTCAAGGCTGTCCATCATTGTTTTGGTGACGTGTGGCAGCTGGTGGCACGGATCGGCACAAGTTTGGGTTGAACGCAGCCGAGTGAGCGCAACCATCAACTTCATGCGCTTGCAAGCTGAGATCATGTGGGCAAAGCAGTTCCCACGCATGACACATAACCACCACAACAACAGCAACGACAGCAACAACAGCAGCAACAACAACAACACGGTAACCGAACCCCCCCCCCCTTCACGGTAACACCACCACCACCACCACCACCACCGTCATCATCATCGCCATGACCATGCACACCTGTTCGAGCTGGCCGACATTGTCGACCTCTGGCACGGCCTGGATCGTCATCTGCTTCAGGTGCAGCGCAAGCAGCACGGGCTTGAACCACCGCCTGCACACACACACACACATACACACACACACACACATACACACACACACACACACAAATACAAGGCAGGATGGTGGGGTAGGTAGTGTGAGAAAAGGCACGCTCGCCATGTGCAGCAACACAACACAGCGCCAACGCTGCCCACCACCACAAGGCCGCCATCAGCACTACTATCGCACCTCTCGAAGCAGAGCTCTGCCATGACGTTGATGAGAGTTGGCGCGTGCTCAAGGACAAAATCGAGATCTAAGGCGGTGTCATCACGACGGCGACGGTCATGTGGTGAGAAGTGTTGTTAGGAGCTACGGGGCTCAATGACCGTGGGTGTGGGTTTGCGTGCGAGTATGGGGATGTGTGCATAAGTGTGTACACGCACGTTTGCGTGTGTGACGGGCAGAACGACGTGCAGAACGAGGTGCATGGGGTGATGACATGCACGTGGATGCTGAGGTGTTGGCGTGTACCTGCAGTGAGCGCTGGGGAGAGCTTCAGGCGATGCATGTGTGCGTAGAGAAGCGTTCTGCACAAGCAAAGGGAAGCACGGGTCGGTGGGGTCAAATTGTGCTAATGTAAACCTGCCTCACATGCGACAGAAGTCAAATCAGAACTTACACACACACACACGCACACACACACACACACGCACACGCACACGCACACACACACACACACACACACACACACACACACACACACACACACACACACACAGGGTGCGACCTGGCCTTGACGGCGAAGGGCGAGTCCTTCAGCTTGATGCGGTTGTCTTGCTTGCCCTTGACCTTCTGCTGCCAGGGGTTGTTGGGCAGCTCCGGCAGCTGTTTCAGCAGCGCGAAGATCTCGCCAAGCTCTTCCTGCGACGTCTTCAGATTCTCCCGGAACTCAAACGCACACGACAGCACTTCCATCATCCCTGCACATGCGAAGAGGCAAGGTGTGTGTGTGTGCGTGTGGTGTGTGTGTGGTGTGTGTGTGTGTGTGTGTGGTGTGTGTGTGTGTGTGTGTGTGGTGGGTAGTGTGTGTATTTTGTTAGCGTGGGCGGATGAGAACATGGTCGTTGAGTTGCAGCAGGAGAAAAGAGCCAAAATCCAGCACCACAAATAACACCACCACATCCCATCCCAGCACGACACGGAACATCGAGGGGGATGATCGGCGCACCAAGTTCCTTGACGGCGTCTGTTGTGAGCGAGTGGTAGAAGAGGGCAGCCGTGTCCTTGAGCACGCCTTTCTTCAGATACTTCTTGCTGCGCGTCCACCGCGACCGCTGTAAAGGGGGGGGGGGGGTGGGATTCGCGTAGAGTGATGGAAGGTTGAGTGGATCAACAATTTGCGTGTGGGTGTGGGTGTTGGTGTGTGTGTTGGGGGGGGGTGAGTCAAGGTGTGCTGGAGGGGCCAATGGAAAAGATGAACGGGGAGGAAGTTGGAGAAGCAAGTTGGCGACCAACACCGGCGCTGATGTACAGCACCGGCCCGTCTTTCAAAGATACGCATTCACACAGTTGCCCCTGCAAACAGCCAGCGAGGCAGGACACGCACCACGATGGCTGGGATGATGATGACAAAGCCAACGGCGTATGCAATCATGACAATGACAGAGTGCTTGCCCTGCACCATCCAGGCTGGCAGCGCAATGCCGTATGTCTGCGTCGTTGGGCCGTCGGGGTTGCCGTACTTCTCCCAGTTCTCGCGCGTCTCGTCATCCGTCAGCCTGAGCAGTGGCCATGGTTGGTCGTTGGTTGGCGGTCGCAGTGAGGGAAGGAACACACATACTTGGCAGCGCATCAAGCGACACAGTCATGGACGACGACTCATGTGCACGTCCATTCACACACGCACATGCACGTTTATTCAAACATGCACAGGCACGCATGCACTAGATCCCTTTGATGGGGTTCTCACATACGCGCACACATGGAATCATTCGCTTAGAGGTGCGTGTGCGAGCAACTTACGCGCGGTATGCCTTTGAGATGCGGACGAACATATCGTTTGCCTCGGGATCAGGGTTGCGGTCAGGATGGTACATGAGCGACAGCTCACGGTACCGCTTCTTGATTTGCTTCGTCGTTGCATCCTATCAATCAATGTGTGTGTGTGTGTGTGTGTGTGTGTGTGTGTGTGTGTGTGTGTGTGTGTGTGTGTGTGGTGAACGTCATGTGCGCACGTATGAGGGGCGTGTGCGCACGTATGCACGGGCACGTGCATGTGTGCCTTGTCCGACCGTTGCCTCGCCTCCCTCCTCTCAGAACAGAGCACCAGAAAATCGCAGTGGAACGTACGGATGGCAGTTCCAGAATCTCAAACGGGTCGTACACAGCCTCATGCTCCATGTGGGAGATCTGCCACATGATTGCAAGCACGGCCGCCCACGCCAGCACGTAGATGATGTTCCTGTCACGTGCGCGTGTGCGCAAGTGTGTGTTCGTGCATGGATGGATACACCAGTGAGAGAAGGCAAGTCTTAGCTGCAAGGGCTTGATTCAATGCAGAAGGCAATGCCAACGAAGCGAGTTTGTTGAAGTCAACGATGGATGAATCGCAGGTTCACCAGCTCACACGCGCGCGCGCGCATTCACTCACTCACGCATGAACTCACACACTCTCACCATGTTGAAAAGAGATTGCTGGGTTTCTTGTTCTTTGCCTTGCGGACCTTGCGCTTCTCGATTTCAGTATCTGTTCGCATCAAGGAGAAGCAGCAACGCGGCGTAAGCCCAGGCACAGATCGGCATGGCACAAAAGGTACACCATTTGTTACAGTACACACACACACACACACACACTTGCGCAGGGCCAGGTGCATGTGTACACATTCCACTCCCTTTCCCCTTTCTTTCCCCTTTCTCCCCCCCCCACCTGCCCCCTAACGCACCGTCCTCGCCGTCGTCGTCCACGAAGCAAAGACAGAGCCGCCAGATGGTGGCACCGGTCAGGTACAACACCAGCAACGCCAGCACAAAAAAGTACGAGCTGGTGCCCTCCTCATCATACTCAAACTCCCTCATCTTCGGTGGTCTCACTCACACACGCTCACACACGCTCACACACTCCCTGTTCAAGCTGTCACAAAGGAATATTGCACAACCCCCTGCTTCTGAGGGTCGGTAGGAATCGGCTGACGTGCCTTCTTGCTCAGTTCTCGACACAACCAACAACACACCACCAACAAACAACGCACTCCTTTTTGTTGGTGCAGGCAGAGAAAATGTGCGACGTGTACGGAATAGTTGTGCAAGATGTTCATCGATTTTCTGCAACACAGCAGCGATGATGGAGAGGAGAAGAACAGGGCAAGGAGGGCGTGGGGTTGTGATGATGTGGTGTGCGGTGGTCGTAGTCTTGGTGTTGCTTGTGGACGCCAGCGTGGCTGTGAAGTTTAAATATCAACGTTATCACTGGAGGAAGAAATCACGATATGTGAGTGAGTATGTGTGTCCGCTTGTGTGTATGTCTGTGTGTGGTTGTGGTCGTGTATGAGTGCATGCATGTGTGTGTGTCTGTGTGTGTCTGTGCCTGTGTGCGCCTGTGTGTGTGCCTGTGTGTATGTATACCTGTGTGTGTTTGTTTGTGTGTGTGTGCGTATGCCTGTGTGTGTGTGTGTGTGTGTGTGTGTGTGTGTGTGGTCGTGTGCTGCATGCAGCTTCAGCCCTCACCACCAAAGCACAACACGAATGACAACGACAGGGACGACAGGTGCGCAAGGCGTTTCAGCTGTGCGAGACGTACTGTGAACAGCGTGGCGTGAGCGAAGAAGTGGCACGATTCAACTGCGTCCGATCGTGCGTGTCGCCAAGCTGCCTTGAGACGCTGTACGGCGAGGATCCGGTGAGTGAGGGCAAAGGTCCCGAGTTGCGCACACACCTGTGCGTTTGTTTTTCAAGTGTTGAATCTTCACTGCTGGTGACTGGTGGAAACGGTTGGAAACGTGGGTGTGCCCCTTGTGCCATCGCTCACACACACACGCACTCACTCTCACTCTCACACGCACTCACTCACACACACGTATTCACACACTTGCGTGTGCAACCATACTTGCAGTATGAGCTGGGAGAGCATGACGTGCGCATCAACAGCTTCCGCGGGTGCACGAGCCAGGACTTCTCGTCTGGGAACCGAGGTCTCGACACAATCAGGGCTTTATTGGAGAGGGATAACATCGACGCAGAAGCGGGAAGTGGTGCAAGTTGGAATGCAGACTATGATGAAGACGACGAAAGAGAGCGAGACCGCGCGGAGCTGTAGCAATTGCCACAGTCACCGCCCAACACACCAACAAACAACAAACAACAACTAACACATCAGACGTAAACAAATCAGAGTAAACGCAAGCAAGGCTACAAGACAAGAAAATGGAAAGGCACAACGCCATGGCCATGTATGCATGTGTATGTTCTACATTGAGGAGGATTGGGAGTGGCAACTGGCATAACAGGGCACAACAGCAACAGCAACAGCAACAACAACAAGAAAGATACGGAAGAAGGGCCGAGACGGGTGACCAGGAAAGAACACACCAGACGGAGGCAAAGGAATTGCTGTCAAGCTGCCGAGCATGGTGGTGACTGACAGACAGAGTGGGCGGTGACTCCTTGGCGGCTGTCCTTGGCGTGTGTGTTTGGTGTGGAGGGGGAAGGATTACATGGTGTGGATGTGGTCGAGGTACTGCACGCGTTCATCAAGCGCGTCGTTGTCGCACACCTCGACATCCTCCTCCTCTGCATCATCATCGCCCTCGCCCTCCTCCGGCACACCGGGCGCCGTCGACACCTTGCTGCGGCGCACGGGCCGCTTCCCGCCAGCAAACGACTGCGAACGAAGACGCCCGCCCTGTTGAACATCATTGATTGTTGATGAGTCGTCGTGATGGTTGGTTGTGGTGTGGAGGTGGTGAGCAGGCGGGGTGGGTAAGGTTGGCTCTCGCCTCAAATCCCTCACGCTGCCCCGCCCCCGCCTCTTTCTCTCGTGTGCCTGCGAGCACACATGTGTGCTTGTGTGTGTGTGTGTGTGTGTGTGTGTGTGTGTGTGTGTGTGTGTGTGTGTGTGTGTGTGTTACCTGCTCGAGCTCCTCGACCATTTCGTCCTCAAAGTCGGCGAGCATGCTCTCCTGGAAGTCCATGAAGTCTGCATCTGCCATCATCATGTCCAGCATCGCAACCGCCTCGGCACGGCCCTTCACATACACTGCACACGCACACACGTGTGACAATGGGGGTTGAGGGGTGAGTTAAGGCGGGCTGAAACAGCAACATGTGCGTGCATGTGTGTGTCTGTGTGTCTGTGTGTCTGTGTGTGTCTGTGTGTGTGTCTGTGTGTGTGTGTGTGTGAAGGACAGCGTAGGCAGAAGGAGCAGAGCAGATGGTGCCACATCACGCACCTGTTTCGCCCTCATCTGTAACAACTTCTTCCTGCTGGGGTGCATCCTCTCCACCCTGCTCTTCAGCCTGCTGCTGTTGCTGTTGTTGTTGTTCGGGCTGCTGCTGCGTGGCGCTCTCTGCGGCAGCTTGCTTCTTCGCGGCTTCCTCCCTGTTTGTGTTGAGTGGATGGCAAGCAGAGGTGTGCGTATGTGTTGAGCAACGTAACAAAGGATGAGACACACACACACACACGCACACACACGCACACACACACACGCACACACACACACACACACGAGCGCATGCTCTCGTACTTTGCGGCCTTTTCCTTCTTGAGCTGCTTCGCCTTCTCCTTGGCCGCAAGCGCCTCCTTTTTCAGCTGTCGGTTGCAAACATTGCGGCAATGATGGGACGGTGTGTGTGTGTGTGTGTGTGTGTGTGTGTGTGTGTGTGTGTGTGTGTGTGTGTGTGTGTGTGTGTGTGTGTGTGTGTGGCGGGAAGATGGGGTGAGTCAACAAAGATGCGTTGCATGACGATGCTTGATGAGGCCAGGCCATGCCAACGTGTCAAGAACACGAAGCCACCGCCAATCAAGGAGCAACCAAACACACACACACACGCCCACAACATGCAGCTGTTTGCTCTGCCCTCCTTTTGTCTCCGCCACCGCTTGCGTGCATGCAAGCATGCAAGCACACCGCTCCACAGTTACCTGCTCGCGCTCCTGCAGGGCGGCCTTGACGGCGTCGGCGCGCATGCGCTTGAGGTCTGGCGGAGGATTCTTCCACTGCTGCGCTGCCTGCACGTACAGGCGATGCAGTCCAACGCACAGATCAAGAATGCGCTGGCACGTGGAGGAGCGCGCCGTGTACACGCTGAACGCCTTGATCGACTTGTCGTGCACCTGCGCATCGCATGCATCACAGGTGTGCGATTGTGGTGAGTTAACAGCTGGCAGCACGGTCGCGTTGATGTGCGCCACGACTGGTGAAACGGGGAGATCAAAACAGGTGTCAGCGCACACACCATCAAGCACACCTACAAAACAAGTAAGCACAGACAAATCCACTTGCACAAAGATTTACACTTCACACACACACACACACACACACACACACACACACAAACACAAACACAAACATACAAAAGCACGCTCACCTGAATGGAGAACTTCTTGTCTGTGTAGGCGAGCTCGGAGCACTCTGCCCAGGAGAAGGAGACGACGGGCTTGTAGAGGTTGGTGAGGCGGAAGCAGTACAGCCCGCGCGGGTGCACACCCAGGACAAGCGGGGTGCCGTTCTTGTTCTTGATGTCAAACCGCTTCATCGCAAATTGGCTGCGAAAAGAAGAGGGGGGGGGAGGTTGAGGGGAGGGTGGTGAGGGGATGATGTGCCGTGAGTGAAACCCCGACCAAAGGTGCGTGCACAGAAACATCAAACACACACACACACATACACGCGTGTACCTGTGCTTCTGAACAATCTGCATGTACTTGAGGACGGCAAGGTGGCGCAGAATTCCGCGCAGGGACCGCCACACCCGGATCACTTCCTCGCCCCAGAACGTGCTGGTCCCGGCAACCATGTCGGTGGTTGGTTTGGAAGAAGGGGGAAGAAGATGAGAGAAAAGGCGAGCAAGAACGCACATGCACAGGTTTTGAGACACAATGTAGCATGCAAAACCTCGCGCACACACACACACATGAAAAACGCATCCGCGCACCACCACCACCACCACCGCTGGGCCACAGAACAACAACACCGCACGCTTCCCGCACTTGAGGTCTGCGGTCTTGATGTTGCTGCTGCGGATGATGTCGTCCTTGTTGGCGTCTGGGATGAGCTCCTCCTTGCCCACCACCGCCGGGGTGTGCTTGGTCGCGTCGTAGTCGCCGTGGATGGCCTGCATGCTCAGCGACGCCAGCATGAACGCATCCTTGTTGGAGATCTCAAGCTCGTTGCGCACGACAGAGCGGCGCGCGGCCAGGAACGTCTGGTACAGCGTCACATACTGCAGCACCTGATGGGGTGGGGTTGAGAGGGAGTTGGTTGCATGGCGCGTGAGTTGGTTGAGTGGAGTGAGGGAAAGAGGACATATGTGCACCCAATTGCCACATGTCTGCTCTGTTGCCACGTGGTTAAGGTGACTAATAACAAGAACAACAGCAAGAACAACAACTTAAATAACAACTTAAACAACTGCAACAACAACTTAAATAACAACTTAACAACTTAACAACTTAAACAACAACAGCAACAACTTAAACAACAACTTAAAACAACAACTTAAACAACAACTTAAACAACAACAGCAACCAAGACCAGCATCATACCTGGGTGACGTCGACGGGGTAGAAGCGGATACAGAAGCGCAGCTCAATAAAGTCCTGTGTGCGTGGAATGTCCTGCTTCAACAGCTTCTTGTCCAGCGTCACCCACTCCGCCTCGCCCTGCCATATAAATGCAAAGATAGAGCCCGTGTGTGTGTGTTTGTGAGAGAGATGGTATGTGTGTATGCTTGTGCGTGCGTGCGTGCGTGTGCGTGTGTGCAATATATTCACGTGCTACATGTGGAGGTCAAAGGCGCGGTTCACGACAGTCGCATGCATGTGCGTGGGAGCGAATGGCTGGTGGAAGCGGGGGTGTGCGCACCTTCGAGTCGTAGTACTCGAGGCCAAAGTAGTACTTCTCGCACACCTTCAGCATCGTGCACACTGGAACATGGCAAGCACATGAGTACAGGTGTGAGTAAATGTGAGTAACACTGCTCGCAAGCAGCCACAAACATCAACACACGCTCGCGCGCGCACACACACACGCACATGAGACCATGATCCTCTGCAGCCATGCAGCAATATGCAGACCTTGGTCGAGGATGTTTTGTCCGGTTGTTGACGGCTCAGCGTAGAGCTGCAGCGTCTGCTCATCCAGAAGTTTCACCACCGTCAGCACGGGGCCCTTGGGGTTCCTGCAGTGCCACATCGGCCAGTAAAGAAGGCGGGGGAGGGGCAAAAGAAGACGGGGGAGGGGCTGACGTCAGCACAAAGGAATCAACACAGACAAACGCGCATTGCATCAGTGCAGACGCACGCGAGCATGTGCAAAGCACGCGTATGCAAACTACGTACGCTGCCTTGCTGCGGGTGCGGCGAATGTAGGCCGGAAGCTTGACGGACGTGCGCGCCGGTGCACTGGACGGCGCTTCCGACGCATCGCCAGTCACCTGCACACGCGCACAAACACCAGAAAGAGGACACCACAAAATGTATCGTCAAAATCATGAGAGGGACACAAAGCCACGTGGTGCGGCGTGTTGAACACGTCTCAAAAAAAAATGCACACGTGCATCTGAGAGGTGTGTGTGTGTGTGTTTATGTGTGTGTGTGTGCATCCTGTGTGTGTGTGTGTGCATCCTGTGTGTGTGTGTGTGTGCATCCTGTGTATGTGTGTGTGTGTGCTTACGCCGCCTGCGCGCTCCGCTGCTCTGCGCTGCATGAGCTTCAGGTCCTCGTCGTTGTCGTCCGTCAGCACACCGGGCTTGGCATCCTGGCATTGCGTGACAGTGACGGCGGCGATGTGTTCAAGTTATGGTGGTGATGATGGTGGTGAGGAGGGCGAGATGGCAGACGGAAACGAGCATGCAAGTAGCACAACGCACCGACATTGATGTCCCAGCACCAACAATCCCATGTGTGTGCATGTGTGTGTGTGTGTTAACGTACCGCCTTCTTCATGGACGCCTTTGCGCTGCCAAATGCAATGGACGCGAGGGACATGACGTTCATCCACTTCTTCATGTCGCTCTCCGTCTCTGCGGAGAAAATGTACTTGCGCGCCTCCTCGTGCTCCCGGTTGAACGCCTGCACACACACACACACATGTATGCATGTACATATGTTAACGATGCCATTCGAGTCTTGACAACGCCATGCCACAAAGGCAAAACAAAACACACACACACACACACACCCTCACACACTCACACACTCACTCACACTCTCACACTCTCACACTCTCTAACACTCACACACTCACACACTCACACGAAAACATACACACACTTGAAACCAGCGCACCTTGAAGGCAAACTGGCGGTTGCCCGGGTTCTCAGACTTGTCTGCCTTTGTGATGGTGTAGGATGGGAGCAGGATCATGCCCAGGGCAGACATCTCCTTGGGCGACTTGAAGTAGTACAGGCAGTTGTCGTCCGTCAGCACAAAGTACCGCCGCTTCCAGCTGCGCAGCTTGAACCCAGACCCGCCAACCTTCCACAGCCACCCACTGCACAACACCATAGTGTGAGTGCGTGTGTGCGCTTGCATGTGTGTGTGCGTGCTTGTGTGGAGAAGCACAGACACACATGTCATTGCATGCATTGAAGAGCGGATAGACACAACCAAACAGACTCCATTTATGAACATGCACATGCGTGTGTGTGTGTGTGTGCACATGTGTGTGCATGGTTTTGTGCGTATGCGTGTGTGCATGCCATTGTGGTGTGTGTGTGTGTGTGTGTGTGTGTGTGTGTGTGTGTGTGTGTGTGTGTGTGTGTGTGTGTGTGTGTGTGTGTGTGTGTGTGACTGACGCGGCGACGGCGCAACCGGCGAGATCGGCGACGGCCTTGGAGCGGGCGGCAAGACGAAGGGGATCGTTCTTCTTCGCAACCTTCACAGACGTCTGCAGCGGTCAAAGGGAGAAGCACAAGCAAGCGGTCAAAGGAAGAAACACAAGCAAGCGCGTGCACACACACACACACACAGTCGATGGGAGCAGGTCAGTGCAGGCGAAGAAACGACAGCCGATACTGGAACAAAGGCTGCTTTCCAATTGAGTAAGCCCTCTCTTTATCCCTCCTCCTCAAACCACACCACACCACACCACACTGCAACATAGCGCGGCAGCGCACCTTCTTGACGGATGCGGTGGGCTTGACGGCAGGAGCTGCCGGCTGCTGCTGTGCAGGGGCCGGTGTCTCCTCATCGTCGCTGTCAGACCGCCAGTCCTCTTGCTCCTGTGTCTTGCCCTCGTTCGCCTGGATCGCCGAGATGCCCTGATTGTGCAGAACAAACGAGCAACGCGAAGAAGAGGAGGACAGAAGGTGGGGAAGGTGGGGAAGGTGGGGAGGAGCAACACAGGATGGAGGAACGTGTGAGGGACGTGTGAGAGGGGGTGTGTGTGTGCGTGAGGATGAGAGGATGCTGTGTCTCAACAAGTAGTTGAAGGTGAAGTGCATGAAGTGAACAGCACGCGCTTCCTGCTCAACGCTACTCAACAACCCACCTGGCGAATCTTGGTGGCGTCGTCAGCCGGCACGTTCATGTCTGCGATGGCTTGCTCGTCAATGTTGAGAAAGTCTGAACCAGAGATGTCGGAGTCTACACATGGGCACAGCATTCGCAGCGCAAAGCGTGGTGCACAGCGTGAATGGAAGAGAAACGGAGGTTTACATCTGTGTGGGCGGTCTGTGTGCATGGTGTGTGTTATCAGCAGCACCAGTCGAATTGTACCGTGGAATGCGGTGATGACGGGGTCGCCAATGTTGAGGAACTTGAGGTATCCAACCAGATCCTCATTGTCCCAGTTGCGCACCTCTGTTGTGAGCATGTATGTTGTGAGTTGGAGGGTGTGAGTGCGCGCTAGAGTGCGTGACGGATTGCCATTTCGCTTGTAACAACAACCAACTGCACACTCACACACTCACACGCACTCACACCTTCACGCACACTCGCACACATTTGCCATAGCTTCACACAAGGACACCCATGCTGGTGCGCCAATTTCAGTGCGCAAGAAGAACTAGTAACAAGAGTCCAATCCACTCACCGTCGGGCGTGTACGTGACGTTGGACATGGCTGACAAGTTTGTCTCCTTCCAAGGTCTCTCTCGAGCAACAACCTCAGCAACAACACCACCAAGAACAACAACGAGCGAGAACAACAACAACAGCAACAGCAACAACTCTTGAGTGCACACGCAGCCGTGGGTTGGTTGGTTCACAGTCAAGCAGGCAGTGGTGTGGGGGTGGAAAGCAAAGAAGACAGCGATGAGCTTGGACTGAAAATTAGTTGAAGTTATTCATGATAATCGGCGAACTTCGGAAGTCCAAACGCGGCGCAGCAGCGTGTTTTGCCTTTGTTTCGTTCTTCGTCCTCCTCCTCCATTATCATTCCTTGTCGTCTGCCCACCACCACCCGTGCATGCTTGTGTTGTTTGTCTCGCTGCTGCCCCCTGTCTTGCATTGCTATCTTCCTACCTTCCCTTTCTCGTCCATCTTTCCCTTTCACTCTCCCTCCTTGCTGTTAGTCAAACGATGGCAATATGTGATGGTAATTGTGATGGCAATTGGTGATGGCAACAGTACATGCGAAGAGTTGGATGATCCTGATCGAACAGCGACAGGTTGAAGGAGAAGCAGAGGAGAAGAAGAAGGAAGAGGAAGAAGGGGAAGGAAGGAGGAGGACCACGAACAAACAAACACAAGCAATCAAACACAAACAAGCAAACGCAAAGAGGGAGGGAGAAACACACACGCCATTTAGAGAGCTTCCTGCGGTATCTTGGTGTGGTCAAACTTGATCAGAAGCGTCGTGCCTTTCCCCTCCACCGTATGCGCCGCCACTTCCGCCGGCTGTATGTGTGTGTGTGTGTGTGCGTGTGAATGTGCGTGTGTGTGCGTGTGTGTGTGCGTGTGAATGTGCGTGTGCGTGCGTGTGAATGTGTGTGGGTGTGTGACTGTGGAAAGAAGCATGTTGAAACGCGAGTGCCAGCAGAGCAAAGATGGATGATGCAACACGAACGTACAAATCCCATGCCATCAACCGCTGCCTCGACAATCCCGCCAACAAAGGCAGCACAATTCAAATCCCCTGGCAGTGTCAAAAGGAAGGCAGCATCAACCACGTGAGAAGCCACAGCCCAGTGTATGTGTGGGTGGGCGATGGAAGCAGTCATCATGCCAGAAATCCCCCTCGCCACACTGCCTCCATCGTGCACACGCTGACCGTATTCCTTGCTGATGGAGATGAACTTGTTCACGAGCATGTCGTGGTCGGACAGCATGTCTGGTGGTGTGTGGAAACGGGTGACATCGCGACGCAAGCGCACATGCAGGGAGTGAGCGAGCACACGACAGCACCGTTTCATGAAGCTTCGCATCTTCCGCCCCCGCACCTCTTCCCCCCTCCACACACACACACACACACACACACACACACACACACACACACACACACACACACACACACACACACACACACACACACACACACACACACACACACACACACACGCGCGCGCGCGCGCCACAGACGAGACGCAGCCATGGTGCACGCATCAACGCACAGCTGCACACGTCGCTGGTGACTTGCTCAAGGAGATCTGCAGGCTTGCCAAACAGCGTCTGCAGCAGCAACAGCAACAGTCACAGGGAGGGAAACGGGACGTGGGCCATATGGGCGAGGGACATGATCGAATCGCATGCACACAAGCACATTCAAGCACACACAATCACACACAATCACACACAATCACATACAAGCACACACAATCACAGCAACAGAGTCGTGCCATCGAACACAGTCCACTCACACACCAGCACACACACACAAGCACATTGACATGGACTCTGCCCACTCACAACGCATCCATGCACACAAAGGAGCATGCGCTGCGTACCCGCCAGAGGTTGGTCTGCAAGAAGGCAAGCACGTCGTGGATCTTGATTCGTCTTCTGGACGTCCTGTCCCGCATCGCCATGACCTCAACCAACCGCACGCCAACGCGGCGTCCAATCACTGCCAGCCTGGTCAATGCACACGTTTGTGAGCGTGTGTGCGTGTGTGTGCGTGCGAGCGTGTGCGTGTGCGTGCGTGTGTGTGTGTGTGTGTGTGTGTGCATGACTGCGCACCAGTGTGCTGACAAAAGCGTTGGCGTGTGTTGCGTTGAATGCACCAGACACAACAAGGCAGGCTCACTTTTGTTCAAGTTCAGGGACAGAGTTGACTCTGTTTGTTGTGTACCGGACCACCTCGGAGAACAGCAGCGCATACGTGCTCAAACTGATCTGTGGGAGCAGTGTTGTTGCATGTGTCCACAGTATCAGCAATGGTATCACTCACGTGCAACGACAGCAGCACTCACAAAGCACCCAGCATCTCAGCACCACTTGCGGCCACGCTTACATCACGGGGTACGCGGGGCAGCGCCCGGTCGAGCGGATGTGTCCGAGACTCCATCCCAACAAGACAGACAGAGAGGAGACAGCAACACAACAACAAGCGAGCAGTAATGGTGGTGCGCGTTCCACAATCAATAACGGCTCACAAAAACACACAAGACAGGACGCCGCTGGCAACGAACAAACAACGCTGTGCTGTGTGCGTGTGGTGTGGACAAACAACGCTGTGCTGTGTGCGTGTGCTGTGGAGTGCGACCCTCCTTCCTTCTACCTCCACCTCCTCCTTGCCTCTAGCGCGGAACATGAACCCGCTGCAGACACTGTTGCAACAGACGCTGCTATCAACACAGCACGTGTCAAAGGCGGCAATCATTCGCAAGAGAGATGGTGGGATTCGAGCAAGAACACCAAACTTCAAGGTGTGTGTGTGTCGTGTGTGCATGTTTACCTCTGTGTGTGTGTGTGTGTGTGTGTGTGTGTGTGTGTGTGTCGCGTGTGTCTGCCTGTCTGCCGTACTCGTTTGTGCGCACCTGTGCGATAAACTTTGTTTGCCTGCCAATCCCCCCCCCTCTTCTTGCCCCACATTAGAACTCACCCACCTTCACGCACGCTTCCCCCTGTAGATCACGCAGGAAGAGTTTGCACGCATCCAGGCAGCGTTTGACTCGCCCACGTTTGGAAGAGAACACCCGCTATCACTCGGAGGCAGGAACTACCAGTGCATCAGGGTCGACGACCGTGCCATTTACGCGAAAGACGTGCGTTGTTGTCGCGTACGCTCCACGTCTGCTCGCTGAACAACGTTGGATGTCCCCTGTGCCTCTTGATCGCTTGCATGCTCGTGGTCAACACACGTGTATGTGTGTGTGTGTGTACGTGTGTGTATATGTGTGTGTACGTATGTGTGTATATGTGTGTGTACGTGTGTACACATGTGTGTGTGTGTGTGTTGAACGCACGCTGCATCACTCGCCTTCCTTCCCACTCACAAATACACTCACTCACTCACACAAATACACGAACTCACACTCATGCTCCACTTGCAGGGGTCGACTGGTATCATCATAGCCATGGCAAAGAACAGCTACGTGCTCAGCACATATGACGTTGGCATGTACCCGGCCGTGTGCGCAGAGGCAACAGAGAAGCTCGCAGAGTATCTACGAGAAAAGGGGAAATAGCACATGTGCGCCTGTGTTTGCCTGTGGTGGAACATGTGGTGCTGATGCACACTCTTCGCTTGTTACTCTTCGTCATGCCTCAGCACCAAGGCTTTGCCCTTGTTTTGTTCATGCGCTGCTCGGCTGATTGCTTGCTTGGTTCCCGCCGCCATTCGCTTTCAGTTCGGCGCCATTCTATATAACTGCCTGTATTGTGTTGTAAACTTGAATCAGCACTCCGCACGTGCGTGCATTAAGAACGACTGAAGGTGCAGTGGAAAGCAGAAGCGATTGGAACGCTCGCATGCACAAACACACACACACACACACACTTGAGATATTGACAACACACTTGAAACATGCACGATGTTGTAAAGTAACAAATCCCAAACATCATGTTAGCATGTCCATTCCACAAAAGCACAAACCCTCAGCTGTGGCCATAAGATGGCACATGAACGCAGAACACAAAAACACGTTACGCACGTGCATGGTGTTGCTCCATCGCGCCCTCTCTATGAACGCACATACACACGCGCACATGCACATACACATGTACACACAAGCACATATACACATGTACACACATTGACACATAAACACACATATGCACATAAACATACACGCACATACACACATACACACCGCTGGCTTCAAAGTTCGATGCTTTCAATGCCATCATCGTCATCATCGTCAAAGGTGTGTTGCGCTGGTGGCTGTGTCGTTCGTCTCCGCACGCCCGCGTTCATCCACGGAAGCGTCTTGGGTGCACTGCTCGCACTTGTGCCACTGTCATTGCCTGCAAGCAAACCATCTCCGCCTCGTGCGCCCGTCGTCGCCTTTGCTGGCGCCGCCGTGAAGCTTGGCGCGTATGCAGCACTGCTGTTGTCGCCAGCATTTGCTCTGCCCTTGCCTGCAGACGGCTGCTTCGCCTCCCACGGAAACACACCCCCGCCACTCCCACGCGCACGCGCACGCGCCGCGCCGCTGCTGTCGGGCTTCGTGTTGAGGAAATCAACAACACCGCCACCACTGCTGTTGTTGTTGTTGTTGTTGTTGTTGTTGTTGTTGTTGTTGCTGCTGCTGCCCTGTGCGCGCGTGCTCTGGTCGGGGTTGCTGCGTGCTGATGCAGTGGCACGCGCGTTGCTCTTGAGAAAGTCGAGCTTGTGTCCGCTGGACGGCGCCAGAGATGACGACCGCACACTCGACCCGGCCCCGTCCCGCTCAAGCGCAGGCCTGGTGGTGGTCACGGAAGTGGTCATGAGAACGGTTATGAGAATGTTGGTGGCGACTGTGGTCATGAGAATGTTGGTGGTGATTGTGGTCATGAGAATGGTGGTGACAACAGGCAGTGGTAACGCACTGCTTGCAATGAAGCGGAAGCTGTTTAGGCGTGTATGTGTGTGTGTGTGTGCGTGCGTGCGTCGCGTGTGTGTCGTGGTATGTGTGTGAGGACTCACTTTGAGAGATCAATGTCTCTTCTTGCGCGCTGGCGGCCGGACCGTTGCCTGAAGTCACTGCACACACGCACACGCACAACAGCACAACTCGTGAGATAAGGTGATCAACATTGGGTTCACGGCAAGCCGTCGACATAAAAACACCACAAAAACAAACAAATGGGACAAACAAACAGATGAACAATCACGTGCTCACGCACACATATGCACGCACACCAGCACGTGTGTCTGTGTGTGTGTGTGTGTGTGTGTGTCTGTGTGTGGTGTGTGTGTGTGTGTCTGTGTGTCTGTGTGTGTGTGTGTGTGTCTGTGTCTGTGTGTGTGGGGGGGGTGTAAACTGACTCGAGGAGGTCTGGGCGGGCAGGGAGTCCCCGATGCATGTTGGCAATGGCGTCAGACTGGCGACGGGCCACATGGAGGGGTGGAAAAAGGAATTGTGAGAAGAAGAAATCAGGACAGAATCATCAGCACCCGCATGCATAAACACACACACATATACACATATACACATATACATACACATATACACATATGCATACACACCGGCTGTCGTGCTCCTCGCTGTCGCGGCTCCTTGTTCAACCAGGGGAGCGACGACTGCTGCTGCTGTTGCTGCTGGTGTTCATTCGTGCTGCCGCGTGCGGTGTCAGCCGGTGCCGGGCCGCCGAGCGATGGAATGTCCTCCTCAATGCCATCGTCATCGCTGTCGTCGCTGTTGTCCTTGGGGGCCGTCGTCCCCGCCCCGCCCTGTGCATCAATCTTGCCGAGCTGGTGGCGCCACAACCACGCACAAGAAGGAGATCAGGTGTGAGATGTGCGGCGCATAAAATGACAGGAAAAACTGGTTGCATGCATTCTCGCAAACCAGCATGCATTCATGCACATGCATCCCACACACACACACAAACACACACACACATACACACACACTCACACACACTCACTCTCACTCACACACTCACACACACTCACTCACACACTCACACACTCACTCACACACACTCACTCACACACGCTCACACACTCACACACACTCACTCACACACTCACTCACACACTCGCTCACACACGCTCACCATGGCCAGGAGCTGCTGCTTCTTGCGATCTGCTTCGCTCTGTTGCTGCCGCTGTGCCTTGGCTTTGGCAGCCTTTGCTTCCTCTTCTTCCCTCCGCCTCTTTTCTTCCTCCTCCTTCCTTCGCTGTTCTGCCTCCTCCTCCTCCCGCTTCCTCCTCTCTTCCTCTTCCCTCCTTCTTCTGTCTTCCTCCTCCATCCGCTGCCGTTCCTCTGCTGCCGCCCTCTCTTCTCTCTCGCGTGCTGCACGCCTTGCTTCTTCCTCCTTCTCCTCCTCCTCCCTCTTCTTCTTCTCGGCCAGCAACGCCGCCTGCTGCGCTGCTGCTGCCTTTGCCTTCTCCTCTTCCTCCTCCTGCGCTCTTCCGCGGGCCCTCTCCTCTTCCTCCTCCTGCGCTCTCTTTGTGTTCGTGGCCGGCGTCACAGTGCGTGTCGATGACACGTTCATGTCCCCATCACCGTCATCATCCTTATCACTCACCACCTCCTCCACCTGCTCTGCCACATGTGCGGGCGTGCTTTCCTGCTTCTTCGGTGTCTGTGTCTGTGCTGGGGGCTGTGGCAGGCGCTTTGGCTCTGGCGATGCCGTTCTCTTGAATGGCGACGACGCCTTCCCGCGTGTTGGTGATGTCGGGAGCTTGGACGCTGTGCTATCACCAGTGCCGTCGTTGTCGCTGTCGTCGTGGCTACTGTGCAGATCCAGGGGTGCAGGTGCGGGCGTGGTGGTTGCGCGGCTCACTGCCCTGGACGCGGATGTTGTTGTCTTCAGATGGCTCCGGATGTTTAGTCCGGCCAGCTGCCGGTCCTTCTCCGCCACCGCCGCCTCCAAGTCCTCAACTTGCTGCTGGAGCGCCGTCACCTTGGCCTTGTGCGCCGCCTTCATCTTCACCTCCTGCTGCTCCATGCGCACGCGTGCCTTCTCCTCAAGCTCAGCCTTGCGCCGCAGCCGGCCCATCTCCTCCTCTTGCTCCTGCACGCGCTGCTTCATTGCTGCCAGTTCGCTCTCAAGCTCCGCGCGTTCCCGCAGCCCTTTGTCCTGCACCAGCTGGTCGAGCTGCCGCGTCTTGTCGCGGATCGACTGCAGATGTTTGTCTTTCTTCCGCTGATTCTCCTTCATCGTGTGCACGGTGTCTTTTGCCTTGCGCAGCTGCTCGCGCAGGGACCGGATCTCTTCATCGCGCTGCCGCAGCCGCTGAGGCAGCTCGGAGTCGTTGCCCTCCAGCTTGTCCAGGGCCTTCTCCTGTCGCCGCTGAATATCCTGCAGCACCTTCATCTCCTTCTTCAGCTCTTGCAGTTGCATGTCTTTGTTGTGTAGCTTGTCCTCGAGCTCGGCCGTGTACTGCCGCGTGCCCGCAGACTGCACCGGCCGCTTCCGCGTGCGCCGCGACGAGGACTTGGCCCCTGATGTGTGTGTGTGTGTGTGTGTGTGTGTGTGTGTGTGTGTGTGTGTGTGTGTGTGTGTGTGCGGTTATGTGTGTACGGTTATGTGCGTGTGTGCGTGAGTTGAGGAGTTGCACAAACATCAAGTGGGACGGACAGGACAGCCTGAGGACACATGTGCTGTACTGCAAGGGCCATGATGACTTCTCCAAAACACATGAAACCATGAGACGAAATAAACATGGTTGCATGCACATCGACAAACCTGATTTTGAGGATGTCGAGGTATGGCTGCGCTTCGGTTTGCGCCGCGGCTGAGAAGTTGAATGGCGAGGGGACGGTGACCTGTGGCCATCACCCTCTTCGCTCCAGTCGGAGCTGTACTGGGCAAAGTCGTCTTCATCAGACATGACGACTGTGTGTGCGTGTGTGTGTGTCTGTGTGTGTGGTTTGCACGGTGGTAAGCGTAGTGCTGCTGTAAATGCAGGTGTTTCTGCTTTCTTTGCGTTTCCGTGCTTATGTACGCGTATGCTGATGCGTGCGTATGCGCATGTACGTAGGTGCGCGTGTGATATGGTCAGAGCGAGTGACGAGGGGTGGTGCGCCAACCAACCAGAGCAGCAGCAGCAGTGTGAATGAGTGTGAATGAGGGTGTGATTGTGTTTGTTTGCCTCGAAACCAAGGCACGTCGAATTTCGAATCTTGTTTGAAATCTTCCACAAATCGTCCATAACCGCTGTGGTGCTGCAGCCACAAAAGACGACGAAAGCACTCCTCGCACACTGTCCGCCCATCGCTCACCCCCATCACTGACTTGATTCTTGTGAACAAGCCTTTCTTTCGCTTGCACGGACAGTGTGACATAGAGGGCACATCCAAACCGCGTGCTCGAGATGTGGCTGGCTGCCAGGCTGGCCACGTACTTCCCTGTCCTGTTCGTGACTGGGGTCTGGGCGTGGTCGTACTACGCTTACATAGTTGTCCTCGTCGGTCAGTCTCAAACTGGATTTTGTTTCCTGCATGTTGATGCTGCATGCTCATGCACACATGCACACATGCACGTGCGTGTGTGCAGGTGTGGGTACCATTGCATTTCATTGCATGACGTGCCTCGTTGGTTGACTAGCTGGTGGTGAATTGCACACGTGTGTGGGCGCTAATTGGAACCGTTCTTGTGTGTGTGTGTGTGTGTGTGTGTGTGTGTGCGACCAGGAACGTTGATTGACAATGTGTTTGTGGCGGCCGTGTATGGCCTCACGTTTCACATGCTGAGCTTCCTCTTCTTGGCACCATACTACCGCGCCGTCTTTGAGCCGTTGCCTTTGATTCAATCCAAAGTCGGTGGCCTTGCATTATGTGCCTCCTGCAACGTCGTATGCTGGGTCGGAGCGTGGGTCGAAGCACCGCTCACTTTGTGTTGTGTGGCATGCAGCATCATGGCTTTGCGTGGGTGATGCTTGGCTTGATCTGCTGTTCACGCTCAACAGCGCCCGCTCACCCACGCACCTGTCCTGTGCTTTTGGCTGTGCCTGCTGTTGTTGTTCTAGTTTGTGCTTTCGCACCATGAGTTTCGGCGGTTGACACATGGCGAGCCGTGCCCAGACCTCAAAGACAGGAACCTGCCCATCAAAATGCATGACGGAAGCGGAAGTATGTGTTGGGCGTGGGGACATGAGTGTGCGCTCTGTGTCTGTGTCTGTGTGTGTGTGTGTGCGTGTCTGTCTGTCTGTCTGTGGCTGTGTGTGTATCTGCGAATCTACATGCGTTTTACCGATTCATGTGCCCTTAGCCTCTGCTCCCACTTACCTGCCCATGCAACCTTGCCCCTGTACTTGCTTTCCCGCGCAATGCAAGGGCTACGGCTGTGTACCAAATGCAAGATCATCAAGCCAGACCGCTGTCGCCACTGCTCCATTTGCGGCGCATGCGGTCAGCATCATGTTGCGGCTGTATTGAATGCATGTGAAGTTTGGTCCTCGCGTTTGCTAGTCGCGTGTTGTGCATGCGTGTGTGTGCATGCGTGTGTCTGTGCGTGTCTGTGTGTGTCTGTGTGTTTGTGTCTGTGTGTGTGCGTATGTGAGTGACTCTGTGAGGGTTGTCTGCATGTAGGCTGTGAAAGCGTTTACGTCACTGCGCTCATATTCCCTCTTCCCTCGACTGCCACAATGGCATATGATCGCGTGTCCATGCCACCACGAAACGGATGCACGTGCAGTGCTCAAGTTTGACCACCACTGCCCAGTGAGTGCTTTCTCTTCCAACAATGATATTGCACCTGTGCTTGACATGTATCTGTGCATGTGTGTGTGTGTGCATGGTACCCAACATCCGCCCACGACGTATGTCATGTGTCACACACACACACACACACACACACACACACACGTGCACATTCACACACACACACACACACACGTGCACATTCACACACGCACTCATTTACGCATGCTCTCTCTTGCAGTGGGTTGCCAACTGTGTTGGGTTTCACAACTACAAGTTTTTCTTCCAGTTCCTTGCATATGCGACCTTCTTTCTCATCTTCGTCGCCGCCACCAGCGCCCGATACTTCATCCTCTACGTCAACGTACGACAGCATCCCGTGCCATGTCGTGTCGTGTGTGTGTGTGTGTGTGTGTGTGTGTGTGTGTGCGTCGTGTCGTGTCTCTGTATGTGTCTCTCTGTATGTCTGTATGTATGTATGTATGTGTGTGTGTCTGTCTGCATGTGAATGTGTGCACATGTCGAAGTTACCCCGAGCGCCTGCCTGTGCGTAGTTCTATCGCCCTTGTCACCCTCATCACCATCACAAACACCATTGCCATCATCGCTGCAGGGGTCGATTTCGTCAGATCACGGCATCCACATGGCCGCCATGTGCTTCATCGCCGTCGTCTTTCTCTTCAGGTCACCCCCGGCCCTGTGTGTGTGTGTGTGTGTGTGTGTGTGTGTGCGTGCGTGCGTGCGTGCGTGCGTGTGTATGTGTGTGTGTGTGTGTGTGTGTGTGTGTGTGTGTGTGTGTGTGTGTGTGTGTTTGCCTTTGTCTGTCCCTCTGTCTCTCTGTCCGTGTGACTCTGTGTTCGTGCCTTGTGGTATATTGCACTTGCTTCAGATGTGCCATGCTTCTTACACCCCTGTCCACGGCGCCGTCTGCGTGTGCCTCTATGTCTCTCTGTGCAGCGTTGGCAGCTTGTTTGCGATGCACATCCATCTCCTCCGCCGTAACGAAACAACAGTTGGTGCGACCCGATCCACACACACACACACACACACACACACACACACACACACACACACACACACACACACACATGGGTCTACATGTGATATATATACAAATATATATATTTAGGTAATGACACGTGTGCGATCTGTACTGTTATAGAAAACCGTGAGAAAGACAAAAGAGTTTCAATATACGTCACCAATCAGCGCGAGTATATATGTATGTGTGCGTGTATGTGTGTATATGTGTGT